GGAGGAGCGGAACCAAAAGCGACAGCCCTCGGGCCCGTTGCGGGTGGGTGCGTCTCTCTTGCTCGCTCCCTTGCCCGCTCGGTCGCTCTCTCGCTCGCTCGCCTCACCGTGTCTCGGGAGACGCTTGCCATTACAGACCGTGCTCTCAGTCCCGCACCCCGCGTGAAATATATCCCAGGCCCCGGCTCCTCTCCACGTCGTCTTATATTTTTCATAAAACGGTCACAGGGCTCCGGACACGGGGCGGGGCGTGGCCGTGCGTGGCGGGGCGGGACAGGGCGGGGCGTGGCGAGCACCCCAGACAGTGATACGGCGCTCGGCCCGAGCCCGCGTTGGCACGGGCAGAAGGGGCCCTTGCACACACCACTCACAGGTGCCGGCATTTGCCCCCCCCCCCACTTTTCCCAGTCGTATGAGGTCACTGCGACCCCAACCACTGTGAGCTGAGTACACTGTGGTTCCCTCTGGTTGAGTTTGCAGTGTGTATGGTCAGTACCGTAACATCTTTCCTGTAGTGCCGGTGATATCACTGCATGAGTGATTAATTAGTTTTTTGTATTCTTTTCACACGACCGGACGAATGAAGCGACCGAAGTGGACACCAACAACTGCTCTCCCGTGTGCGCTTCTGCAACGAGGGTTCGAGTGTAGAACGCGGGAACCCCGTTTGTTTTTTTCATCCCCTAGCCTAGAAGCTTCTAGGTAAACAGCCGATCTGATAGAGATTTGATAGAGAGCTGACGCGTAGTGTTGTTTCTGTATTCAACGGGAACCTCCGTATCGGCATCAAAACGTCATCGAAACGGTCTGTGTAGCTTTTCGCCGGCGGGGACCTTCGAATATCGCACGAAGCCGCGGTAAGTATGCTGGGCACCGACACTGTGAAAAATACCGTCGTAAATTAACAAAAATTTTGTAAACTCGAATTATAATTTAAGTTGTAAATTTACGAAAGCACATTTTTTACTCGCCAAGGGATTTGAAGTCGATACGTACTGCATGTATTTTTACGATTTCAAATTGTAATTTTACAACTTGCGTCAAGGAAAATTTTCCTGTAAACCTACCTACTTTTTTTCACAGTGGAAGGAAACACATTCCTTAGAAGTGCGATATAAACCATATCAGAGAAATTCTGCGCGTGCCGCTCTTGGACGCCTCTTTGGCGCTGCGCTTTTGTGCAGTACGAGAATGCAGGCAGCGCGATGAACTGCCCGAGAGGTCTACTGTCCACGTCTCCACCACCCCACCCCCCCCCACCGTCACCGTGGCGATGAAATGGCGGAACCACGAGCGGTATAGTGCAGATTCTTGGCGTCGTCCCGTTATTGCACTGCTGCTCTTCGGATTCTCTCTCCCGGTATTTTGAGAAATATACATTTGCAGCTTGCATAATGCGACTCTCGGTGCGCGATTCGGAATCCCTAATGAGACACTCTGGCGAAGCCAGTTAAAGGGCGGCCTATGATTGCAGTCGTTATTATTTTTCTATTTTGGGGGGCTTATCTGGTTGGCTGAATCCAAACTTTTGAAGCAGCGTGCTTCAGGCTGCTGTTCCAGCCAGCCACCAGATTACCCCCCTTTGCAAATGGTTTCATAAGGCCTCAGTGGCTTCACTTCACGAGACTGGGGGGGGGGGGGGGGGGGGGGGGGGGGGGGCGTGTGTGATGGGACCGTGATGTACGAGTGAGAGGTGCCGTGTGCAATGCAATGCGAGAGGTGTGATGTTCGGCCTGAAAGTATTTTCGTCGGCGAGGAAATTATTCTTAAGGGAAGGGGACTGGTTAATTTTTGTTACTTCGGCGTCAAGAACACAGAGAGGGGAACGCTTTCTCCATCTGGTAGAGACAGTCTTAGGACTGTATAAAAATATCTAGTCCGTTTTATAAGAATCATTTTCTTGTCTATGGAAAACTTTTCCTGTCTAAGTGCATAATATCGAGCTGGAGGGAGGCGATAGTCCCTCCCTGCGAGCGGCTGAGACTGTTTACAGATCGATGGGTCAATTTATTTACATTATATACATATTTGTTGTTATGGTACACGGTGGCGCGCGCTACGCGTCGCAGGGTGACGGCGGGAAGTACGACTGGAAGACGGTCGTGTAATTGAGCAGGACGAAGGCGAGGACGGCGCCGGTGAGCGAGCCGACCTGGGTCACGGCCCCCCACCAGAACAGCCCGCGCGGGTGACGCTCGCGGAGCACCGAGGCGATGCCCAGCTTGGTGTACGAGACGAGCGCGGTGAACACCACCCAGACCACCACCTGCAACAAGGCAGCAGAGGTCACAAATTTACAATAACATAATCTTGCAAAATAAAAATTGCAACGAATGTTGTAAATTTGGCGAGGATGTTTTCCCCAGTGTTGGGGAGAGCTACGCAGACGTACCACGAGCACCTGGCCGCCCGTGGAGCCCACCAGCGGTGGCGTGGGGCTCATCAGTGACCCGACCAGGATGTAGACGGCCACGGCCAGGGTGGCGCTGGTCAGCGCGCCGAACGTGCGCATCGCCGTCGGGACCACGAAGAAGAGCAGGTAGCAGGCCAGGGGGTTGGCCATGGCGCCCAGGTTGATGGCCAGGTGGTAGGCGTCGGTGCCGTACGGCTGGCACGAGTACGACTGGATGCTGGGGAAGAGCCCGTTGGAGAAGGCCATGAGGACGGCCTCGGTGGCCAGCAGGCCGACGAACACGCCGCTCGACAGGCTCGCCGCCGGCTTGACGGCGGCGTCCTCGGGGGCCGCCGCGTCCTGCTGCTGCCGGGCCTCCCCGTCCTTCGTCTGTTCCGCCTGCTTTGGGGCGACGACGACGCGCGCCTCCCGGCACGCGGGCAGCCGGTCGAGCAGCGCGAAGGCCGCCAGGCTGACGGCCTGCACCAGGGCGGTGGCCACCAGGTAGGTGCGCGTCGAGAACACGGGCGGCGGCGTGTAGCTCTGCCGCGTCCCGTCGTCCCCCACCACGCAGACCGGGTCCCCGGACACGCCCTGCACCAGCGACACGACGCTCGGCAGCAGTGAGCTCAGGCCCTCGCCGATCATGTACGAGACGAGGTAGGTGGGCGCGAAGCGGTTCATGTAGGGCACGAAGAGCACCGAGCTGGTGCAGGCCAGCAGGGCCGACAGGAACACGAGCGCGAGCAGCGCCACGCTGTGGGGTTGGCCGCCCACCACCGTCACTTCCCTAAGCAGCAATGCGAAAAGAAAGTCGTTTTTTAGTGAGATTAAAAGGCATTCTGTTTTACAAACACGCCACCATGGACACTTGAAAAAAAGACCATGACAATGTTCGGAATTGTAAACAATTTCAATTTTTCTTTTTCAAGGGGCATAGAGGGCACTCTTTTAGCCTCAAGGTGCTCCATCGCGTCAGAGACTTCGCAGTTCATGACTATTTAATAACTATCGCGGAGTCGTGATTCGGGTGTGGTCACGTTGCTCTGCGAGAGCGAGAACGTCCAGAGAGAACGCCCGTTTTCTCTCTTTTAGAGGCCTAGCGCCTGCGAGACTCTGGCTAGGCCGCCCCGCGGTACACGGGCGCACTTGCAGGCATCGTGTTGCCTACCTACCAGGCGCTATTAGAGCACGCGGAGCCGAAAGACTACTTGGCAGGTTTCGCAAACGTCGAACCACGGGCGCGTATACTTTCTGAATGAACTCCAAATGAGGAGACATCCTCCTCCACAAAACGCGACGCTTTTTTTATGTCTTTGACGTACTGGTAGAAGAAGGCCATGAGCGCAAGCGCAGCGATGCCCACGGCCTCCAGGAAGTAGATGGCGCCGCGCTCCAGGGCTTCTCCGGGGTAGCGGCGGCCGAGGAGGGCGTACAGGATGCCACCGATGTTGGCCGCCTGTCGGCCAGAGAGATAGGTAGAGAGAGGGAGAGGTACTTCACTCAAAAAATCAGTGTACAGTATACCCTCCAAATAAAATGAAAAACAAACGGCACAATCAATCAGAAAGAAAAAAAACAGATCTTTTTTTAATAGAGGGAAAAAACAGAAAAAATGATAATTCTTGAACTTTTTTCAAAGGACCTCCCGCTACTAACCGCGAGTGTCGGCTGACGGTGCCGTGCGCTACCTGGATGAGGACGACGATGTAGGAAGCCAGGTTCCAGGACTCGGGGGCGGACGCGATGAGGATGGGCAGCTGGGTGTACATGGCGTTGACGCTGAGCCAGGCGCCCATGCCGAACAGCCCGGCGAGCAGGTCGACGAGCAGCACGCGCCCGCCGAGCAGGGCGGCGAGGACCTTCATGGCGGGGGACGCGTGAGGACGCGAGGACGCGCGCGCGGCTGCCTGTCTCCCCGTCGTGTGCCGGACTGTGTCGACGGCGGAGTAAAAGCCACCGGGGAGGGGGCGTCAAGTGATCGCCTAAGCCGTGGATGATAAGGCGTCGGTACCGGCGGCGGCGGCGGCCGCGCGCGAGACTCGGCATGAGATAGCCAGC